CTTAATTAAAAAAAATGTCGTCGTTTTTTTTTCATGGTAAATCAAATGTGAAGACAAAAAAGAATTTTCTTATGTCTGACACATTATTAAAAAAAATACAAAAGAATACTTGTACTTAACTATATTGTTCAGTTTTGTTCCTCTGACAACAACAAGAAAAAAAAAAAAAAGAAACGAAGATTAACATAGACAAATCTCCTTAGACTATCATGTATTTATATTGATTAAAATGTGAACAACAACAATGTAATTTTAATGAAATGCGTGATCAATGATCATAAAGTTCATGTCATTGAGTTCAATGTGAACGACATAATATAGATAGACAACAAAGTGTGAATGTTATCATCACCTAGAATAGGAAAGTGTTAACAATCAATATACAACTACCTATAATGTTCTCCTGAGAAATCAACATAAAAAGACTTGTCATCATCGACTGTATACGAAAAAATGTACTTTTAGTATTTTTGTTTGAAAATCCATCTGTTCAAAAGTTTTCATTATCATCTGATCGATTTCTTATCTCTTTGTGGATGGATTTAGTCGCTTGCATGACACCAGTCCTCCTTTGTTCTATCTCTTTTTCTTAGTTTCATGATCCTATAGATAGTTCACAATGATAACAATTTGTAAAAAAGGGAGGGAATGAAGACAAGTGTTGACTGGATGAAGTAAAAGAAAGAAGAAAAAAAAACAAGGGAATGAGTCCTTCCTTTCATTCTTTTTCTTTCTCTGTTAACTTTTTCCTCATTGGTGAACATATTCCCTCATCAACGAATGAATACAAGAATAAAAAAGTCACAGGCGCCTATGCCTTTATGTTTAGTAAAAAAAAAAAGATAAGTGCGTGCTTAAAAAGAAACACACTCATTGATTTTCAGGAAAATAAATATGACATGTAATAATGAAACAAATATTCTTATAGGAAATAATCATCATCAATATGAAAATTATACAGGTAGATTAAATATTCTTTTATTTCACATTCTCTTGTCATTCAGTTTCCTAAAAAACAAAAAAAAAAAAAAGAAATCAATGTCAACATTATATATTCTAATTTCGATTGGTAGATATACTAGAATAGTTTAGCATTAAAAGTCCAAGAAAATAGATTCAAGGATCTAATGAAGAAGAAAAAGTACGTTGAGAGCTGGCGCAAGACAAATTTTCTATTAAACTAGACCCAAAAATTTTAGAGCTGACGGACTCTAGTCGTCTGAGAAATGTGTAGGATGCAATAGTCACTGAATATGGAAAACCGAAAAAAAAGTATCTCGTATTTGTGGGGCGACTATCCAAATCCGATTAGAAAATTTCATTGAGAGTATCAAAGTACTGTTCGATTGGGTCCGGCTGTAAAAATTTTGAACTCGATGATCTCTAATGCATTTACAATTTTAAAAGTGGAAAAATGAAAAATTTTTTTTTTTTCGTTAAGAAAAACGATTTTTGCTGGGGAAAAATGAGAACTGTTGGGTTGAGCGCAGATCCAGAGCCAATCCAATGAGTTCTCGGTGCACATCTCGTCGCTACATCCATAGATAATGTAAAGATATAATTAAGAAGCTAATTTTTAGCATTAGTTTTTTAAAATAGAAATATTATCATTGTTTTATTTTCTAGGATCGGATAATTCAACAATAGTCACAATTTATGATTGTTCTGTATGTTCATTACCAATATGTGATCAATTTGTTTTTAAAGTCAATGAAAATCATTTTCATTCCTTATGTTTAAATTGTTGTGAATGTCATATAAAATTACTTGATAAATGTTATGCTCGAGATGGAAATGTTTATTGTAAAGAAGATTTTTTTAGGTAATTTAGTGATTTGTTTTTTTTTTTGTAACTTAAAAAATTATTAATAAATAATTTTTTTAAAAGAAAATTTGGTACAAAATGTGCATCTTGTGGTAGTGGTATTCCACCAAGTGAAATAGTACGACGTGCAAATGATTATGTTTATCATTTACAATGTTTTTCTTGTCTTATTTGTCATCGTCAATTAAATACAGGTGAAGAATTTTATTTATTTGATGATCAAAAACTTGTTTGTAAAATTGATTATGATACATTAAAAAATAAAGGTAGATATAGATGAATAGTTTTGATTTTTTTTATATTTATTTATGAATATTATGATTTTAGAATTTGATGATACAAGTAAAAGACCACGTACAACTATTACACAAAAACAACTTGAAGTTCTTAAACAAGCCTATAATACAAGTTCAAAACCAGCACGACATATACGAGAATCATTAGCAGCTGAAACTGGTTTAGATATGCGTGTTGTACAAGTTTGGTATGATAAGTCTTAGAGCAAGAAAAATTGAATTGATTATCTTTTTTTTTGAAGGTTTCAAAATCGTCGTGCTAAAGAAAAACGATTAAAAAAAGATTCTAATAGACGATGGCAAAATGTTAGTCGTAATGATGGAACAAATCAACGAAAAACAAAAAGAATAAACATTGAAAAAAATCAACATATACATCAAGAAGACGATACAAGTAATGAAGGTGATACTGCTGCATCTTATGATGGTAGAAATATATTTAAAAAAAAAACACTTTTTTTTCTATTTTCATTTTGATAGAATTATCCGAACATGAATCAGATGATTCTTTATCACATGTTAGTCATACGAATCCAATCTATTCGAATGTTATATCGCGAGTACCACAACCACCATCCAACGAATTATTACCATTCGATTCACCTTATACATAATTAAATGGAGTTTTTGATCAATTATTTCATTTTTTTTTTATCAATGACTATCAATCATGATCATGAATCATATCTCAGAACTGGATTTTTATAAATTTATTTCAAGAGGAAATACTGAATTATTGGCTTTACAATCAAATATTAACGGAACAGCAATAATGTTTTTCTTTTTCATTTTTTATTCTTGTGGAATCTCGATGTTAATTTTATTATTCATACAGTGTCACCTAGTCATATTGAATTTTACAGTATTATTGCCTTGTCTTATTTCTATAAATGTATTCAAGAAAACTAAGGTCTTAAACGAATCAGTGTTCCAGTGAGATAACCTTTCTACTATTTATTCTTGAAAATTGTCTTTTTTCTGTGTTTTAAGAAGATTTAATCTGATCAGCTTCAATTGTTGCTAGTAATAGAAATATTTCTTTCCTCATTTCTTATGTATTTAAGTCATGAATCATTCAAATATGTACTTAAATTACTTTTCCATAATCAAGAATTATGTGGTTTATTATATTTTCCTAATCTGATATCATCAATTAAGCTATAAAAAAAGACATTTCAACTTTTGAACATTAATTCACTACTCAAATGTCATTCTATCCTCATTTAACCTTTAAAAGTTGTATTCAAACATCTTAAAAAAATAATGCCAAATATATATACAGTGATACCTATATTGATCAACAAGTAGAATGAAGTTTTTCGGTAAGTTCATATTTCGACAATTATATGAATTATAATAGTCTACTTTCATTCATATTGTAGTCCATAGTATCTATTATCCGATTTTTTAAAAAATAACCTTCACCATTTTTCGAATAACTCTCGATCGCTGATAGCTATCAAGCTCGAATTTTCGCCATTAGAAAGAGCAAATGAGGGGACATGTATCTATATAAAATTCATAAGGTTCAAATAAGTTTTTCATGAATATTTTTGAACGAACATCTTCGTTGTTCATTTTCATGAATTTTCACAGCAATCTACGCTTAAAATATACAAAATTCTAGCCTAAAACGATCTTTATTCCGTGTAAAATTTTCGTATTTTGAAACTATAGTTTTGAAGTATTGGTTCAAATAAACTATAGAAAGATTTAAAAATTTTACCAGGAATAAAGATTGTTTTAGGCTAGAATTTTGTATAATTTAAGCGTAGATTGCTGTGAAAACTCATGAAAATGGACAACGAAAAAGATGTTCGTTCAAAAACATTCATGAAAAACTAATTTGAACCTTATGAATTTTATATAGATACATGTCCCCTCACTTGCTCTTTCTAATGGCGAAAATCCGAGCTCGATAGCTATAAGCAATCGAGAGTTATTTAAATAATGGTCGAGGCTACTTTTAAAAAAATCCGACGATAGTCAGCTTCAAATGTTATATCTATTGAACTTGGAAAAGTTTAAAAACAAAATTCGAGATGATAGACAGCATAAAACATTAATAAAATTGTTTAGATCAAACCAATATTTTAAGGAGTTATGATTGTGGTCCCAAATGCTGATATAGATCGTTAAGAAATAAGTAAAATCATATTTGCTAAATGAAAATATACCGTTTTCTAGAGAATCCAACGAAGAATCTTTTGGAAAAAATCTCATCTCTATGCGGTTTAAGGAAGCCGAGAAAATTGAAAAGTACATTTCATTAAGCAAAAAAAAAACATTTTATACTAAATTATCTGCTAACTTATGTAGAATATGTGAATTTTACATTTCAGCCGCAAACAGACTGCAATAAGAGTGTGGGCATAGATGTAGGTGTTGCAGTCAGGAATATCCATATCCTTGCTGGCCATCGTTCTTGCAGGAATCGTGTTCAACAGGGAATTGTTGATCAGTCCATATAAATGCGTTCAATTTATTGAAACAAGCTATCATGTTTAACGTCGAGATGTCTTAGACAGATTTTGTTCTTAAAAGACTTCGAATAGAAGCTTGATTTCAATATTCGACTTCTATACTAATTACAAATTCTCAACTGTACATCTTGTTGAACTAGTGGAATCAGCTCCGTTCTCAAGACAAATCTTGAATCGACATTTCGTTGTCGAATATTCTTCATCAAGAACTATCAATATGAAAGTGTTTGCTGTTCGAATAAATGGTTTATTTCCGTTTGAATATGATTTTATGAGAGATCAGTAAAAATACATGTTAGACAAAATGGAATCACACGAGATTATTATATCTCACAGACATGAAAATAGATTAAATGTTCGATTTATTTGTCGTATCAATGAGAGATAAGGCAAAATTTATTGTCTATTAGCTTGTATCTTTCTTCGAATAATATGAAATTCGTTTCGAATCAATCGATAAAGCATTTCTATTAGCTCCATGATTGAAAGAAGACTAATGCCAATCCATAGACCAGTTTGACCGCCAACATTTGAAAACACATCAACTACATCCATGGTCGCTGATTGTGTACTATTTTTGACAATACTTGTTTCGCGTACAACATTGATAGTAAGATAATTTTTACGAATTTCATCTTGCCATGTACGAGACCAATTCGTCGGTAATGAAATCGTGGAATTTTCAACAAACTTCTTTATTTTTTCCATTTCCCATTCGCCTGGTAATGAGAGTGAAGAAGTTTGTATAATAAAATTTTTTATTACACATTCTTGTAAACATTCTGAACAATAACTGTTCATAAGAGGAGACGAAGTTAAAAGTTTACCAATGGCTTCCTTGTAACACTTATTGTCGAATTCACAAAGAGGTGCAAAAATCACTCGATTCATGCTCGAGACATAGAATTTACGACCATTCCATAGGATAGGATTGACACAACCGCAATGTTCATATCTAAGATACAATGAACTTCATTGGATAAAATATCATGAACATTAGGATATTTTATCATCAATTAAAGTATGCTTACGCATAGATCTGTCCACAAAGTTGATAACATAACGCTTCAGAATAGCCATAATTAGTATTATTGTAATATTCAAACATGGCTTGCATAGTTGGAGATACACTTTTAGTGCATGTTGTATACGGTGAAGATAATAGGTAAGTTGTCTTCTTTCTATATGCAATTTTTTGTCTTCGTCCTGACGCTAATTCAATACCAGCTGCTTCAATATTTGGTAATTGTGTATTATCGTGAACTAGAGCCACGGCACCAAACCCTTTAATAGAGAAAATTAATTTATAATATTTGTTGAATAAAATATTGACTTACCATCCCTGAGAGAAGGCACATATTGATGACTATGTATGTAAAGACCTATAGAGAGTTTGCCATCACCACCATATTCGTTGGCATAAACTGTATTTCGATTGCCATTATTTTTCAATTGTGCATTGAATGTATAACAGGCACCGTAGACGAATGATATAAATGGAACGAAATCATTTACTGAACATGGCATATCATTGAATGAACATTTTTACATCATAGAAGAAAGTGAATAGAAATATGCATCTAGTGTTTCATTTCTATTGAGAGTATTTACGAGAAATCTTGTAAGAACTAAAAATTGAGGTGAGTTCCATGTTGTACCATTTGCACTTGTCCAATTTTTCATGATGGAGTAGTCTAGAAAAGGCTTCCAAAATAGATCTAGGCGTAATGGTGAGATATTACAGAGGCTAAATGCTGGAAATTCTTGGGGCCATTCACTAATGAAACTTATATCCATACATGTCGGATAATCGAAATAGCCCATGGCCGCTTTGACAACAAAATAGATCATTACACCAGTAAAACTAATAAATGAAAGCGACCAAAAAATACGATTATGTAGACTTTCACTCCGAGCAATACCCGGTAAAGCATGTGTTGATGTATTCAAACTAAATTCACGAATGATTGAAAGACGACGGGATAGTTTGTTTTTCTGTTGAGCTACTGGAATATCGTTGACGTGTGACGGAGCCACGTTTTTATTTCGATTTGACATAAAATTTAGTTGACGAAAGAAAATCTAAAATTAAACATTTTCAAGATTAATGCAATTCGCTAGTAAATCATTAGTGACTAAGTATTTTCAATAGAAAAACAGATGAATAAATCAAAACTAATGGCTATGATATATTGCTTACTTTTTTTTATCATGTAAGAATTAAATTAACCTCACGATTAGTCATATCTATCTTTGAATCACTACAGAAATTACATGAGGCTTCCTGTTTCACTATTAATAATAATACTTTTATGAAACATAAATATTAATGAGTGTTGGCATATATCGGGAGAAAATTGATCCCATTTGCTACGGTTTGATCCAAAAAAATCATGAGAAATGTGCCCATATTCTTATAACTTATTGACAAATCATGACATAGATTTCTATATGTTGATCATGGCCTAATGATTTTTCCTACATGCTAGTTTTTGCTTCTATCATTGTCTGTCGCATAAACGATGAAGTTTTCCAACGCGAAAAAAGAAGAAATTACGCACATAAAGATACTTCAAGCATTTGTCAAAGTTATCCTTTATAACTTTTTAGCAATGTCAAATCTAGAACCCACATGCATCTCGAGCTTATTTTATCTAAGTCTATCTGCGAGTCAAGCCACACTATTTCATCGTACTTCACTAATACTGAACTCTCAAAATACAATAATGTATCTAGGCTTCAGTATCAAAGCTCGTAACACATGATGATAGTAGATATGACGTTGCTGAAAACCTCTAGAGAATAACTTTGATATGCTCTTGAAGTAGGCTGAAATAGGAAGTTTTCACTTTTCACTCTCGCATTCTCGACAATAGTTAAAGCAGCTCCATCGTGTTTAATATTTTAGCCTCGTACCGATTACGTTGAAAGCTTTTTCTTCAATATTTATTTCGATTAGTTTTCTCTATTTTAGCATTTATCAATGGATATAAAATTTCATAAGACTACGAATTCTATATTAGCTTTGCATACTAATGCAATGTTTCTCAGATATAAAAAATTCTGAATCTAATGTGAGTATACTCTGCGTCTCTTTATAGATACACTTTATTATCCTTTTTTGATTCTGTGAAAGATGTGGTATAAATAATCCAAAATGAAAATAAATATATATTAAATGAAAAAAAGATGAACAATGACACTATTTTGTTTCAATATCATAAATTAATGCTAACGTAATTTGATAAAATGCATTATGCGTATTTTGATGATTATCTACTTCATAGAAATAGTCATGGACATCAGAGAAACTAGTTTGATATGTAAAAAAACAGAACATACCTATGATCAATTTTTTGAAAAAATCTTCTAGCAGACTGGACTAACCATTACTGATTGCAGTACTCATGTGTACGTACATTAGCCTTATGTACACCAATCGACTATTGTGCTACAAATTGATCTTATCTAATAGTAAGTAATATTGATCATAAACTGATAAAGATAGAGTTCTTAGACTCTACATGTCAATGATAGTTGACCGGTTGTTGAAAAAGAACATGTTAATTTCAACAATGCTAAACTGACGATCAATCGTTTTAGACCATTTGTAAAACATTTCTATTCGTTTTAATCAGTAACAAAATTGCGTCAGTGGCTATGACTCTACCTACTTTATTGTCCAATTGAGTGTATGTGTATACATACGAATGTATGAGTTATGGATAGGTACATCTTTCACAATGTTTTCCGTCGATGTTTGGCTATTTGAATTCGTAAGCAGAAAATGCAGAGTTATTTACTTCGAACTAGGACTGTTAATTTATTATTCTACTTTTACATATGCTTCTTTCAGAATCAGTAAGCTTTCATCGTAGTTTCCTCATAATTATAATACAGAACAAATGTAATATTTTCTGCTTCATTTAGTTATGCACATAACTAAACGATACAGAAAAAAATCTCTCAATAATAATGTAAAACAAATCCTTAGAATAATAAAAAAATGCTCGATTGTGTTTGATTATTCAAATTTCAGTCATCAAGAGTGGATTATATTTTGATTAAAAAGCTTGCCAACACAAGTCCTCCTACGCTTAAACTTTGGAAATCACATGCAATCGCTTTTTGTCTTGTTTAAAGATGATTGTCATGTCATTATCTAAATATAACACACATCATTTTTTCTATCCTCATTCTACAGTAAAATATGCATTAGTAACTTTTATTCAATAATCAAGTTGATAATAAAACAGTACTAACAACATTTAATTCGACATTATCTCATCTAATATTTTCTTCTTCTTATATTGACATTAGATCTGTGCCAATGATCTTATAGATTGTATGTCTCGATTCATGTCGAAAAGATTTTGATACGATTATCAATATAAAGAAATCCTTAGAATAAGAAATGTCATAAAGAAAAGTAAGAAAGTTGTTTAAGAAATTGAGGATTACTTGTTTCAACATATGTTCAAAAAACAGACAATGAAGTAATTGAAAATCTTTCTTTGTCATTGATCCAATTCAATTTCGTTTTTCACGTGGTATAGCTCTAATACGACGAAGATTTTGAGAAGCAAACATACACGGAACGATCATTAGAAGAGAGAAAAACTTCATTAGTAATTGACAAAGAATAAGAAATAAAATCAAGGTAATATTTTGATAAATCATAATAACAAATAAAATAGGAAGGATAGAATTATTGAATATTAACTTTGATAAGAACATGTAAATAGAAACAATTCAAAAAAAATGCATACTTATACTAATAGAAAAATTAGTGAAACGTTTTCAACTACACAGCCGTGTATCAACATTTTGAGATTTTATGCTCATTTTTGAGAGATCTCATGAGATATACATCACAATATAATCTATTAAAAATTGGCTAGGAAATGATTATTATGTTATAGAATTTTACTAGATTCTGGTTGAACTCATAAGATTTTGATTGAGTACCATGAACTTACGAGTTGGTTATGGTCGAAAATATGATACAGCGATCGTTTTTAAGTTGTTATTTTTCATGTTTTCGATTATTAAATCTTGTAATGGATAAAAATTGAGGATTGATCATCATTGAAAGTGTGTGATTATAATCGATAGGCAATTAGAAAAATTTATTTTTGATCTTTGTTAAACTTAAGTCAGTTGAAATCATTCAAAGTTAAAAGTTCATAGAAAATTGCTCAAAATTGTTTAGAGATTTCGAACGATTCTGGATAGTTTCCATTTATTTCTTGTGTATTTATTGATTTTATGTGATTGAAACTGATTTTTCGAGCGATTCAAATCATCTTCTTTCTCTTTACATTATAGTTATATTAAATTTTTAAAAAAATCATTCAAAAAACTTTTATTTTAATTTCTTTTTAGTTACAGTTAGTTTCAATCGATAATAATCATATTTGTGTTGATTTTTGGGTCGTATGAAGTGAGCCAAACTTGGCGTGAGCCAAAGTGGAGTCCATTAGTCCATACTATACCCACTGTAAATATATGGTACTCTAGCACCGGAAGTATCGTTCCCACAACAGAACAATACTACTCACAACTCAGAAGTGCTATTCCCAAAACAGAATAAAAGTATTCGCTACCCGGGAGTATCATTCCCATAACAGAACAAAGGTACTCACTACCCGGAAATGCTATTACCAAAACACAACAATGATACTTACAACCCGGAAGTACTATTTCCAAAACCGAACAAAAATGCTCACTACCCAAAAGTGTCATTCCCATAACAGAACAAAAGCACTTCCGGGTAGTGAGTACTTTTGTTCTGTTATGGGAATGACACTTCCGAGTAGTGAGTACCTTTGTTCAGTTTTGGGAATAGTACTTCCCGGTTGTAAGTATCATTGTTCTGTTTTGGGAATAGAATTTCCGGGTACTGAGTACCTTTGTTCCGTTATGGGAATAACACTTCCGGGTAGATGAGTACGTTTGTTCTGTGTTGGGAATGACACTTCCGGGTTGTGAGTATTATTGTTCTGTTTTGGGAAAACGGTTGGATGACGGTAAAGTAACGGCTCGCATTTTGATTGATCCATTTTCCCTATATGAAGTAAACCACAATTTTCTGGTTAGCATGTTTGGCTCACTTCACACGACCTGATCAAATTAAGACCAGCTGCTCTACTATGCTTCTGCTCGATTATCGCCTATAGAATGATTCGATCTGTAGAAACAAGTCTCCATTGCTGACGTGAGGAAGACTTAGACCAGGCATGGTTCTTATATTTGATTTAACGTTTCTCTTTGAATAATTCTTTGACAAATTAATTGTTTGATCGAGATAGAATGATTTGAATCTTCTGAAAATAAATTTATCAAGATAAACAAACAGAACATCGACCTGAGTTAAAATTGAGGTAAAAATCATACGTTCGATCACCAAGTGAATTGATTTAAAATATAGATCTTAAATAGATCGGTTCGATATTATCAGTGATGAATCGAATTCTTACATTCATAAAAACCAAAAACACACTCTTTAATAAGGTCGAAACAGTATA